CTGATAATTTTTCTTGTTCTGAAGTCAGCTTTGTCTGCAATGAATATTCTACTTTTCCTTTGATTAGTATTATCACGTTACATCTTTCTCCATCCCTTCACTATTAAATAATTTCTGTCTTTATATTTAAAATGGGTTTCTTGTAGACAAAACACAGATAACTTTTGTTTTTCATCCATCCAAATAACACTGATTTTTAATTTTTATATTTTGACCATTCATATTTAAAGTGATGAATGATATATTTGGACTAATACTGATTATGTTTGTAACTGTTCCCTATTTACTGCCTTTGTTCTTTGTTTCTCTTTGTTTTGGCCCTTTTCTGCCTTCTCTGGTTTCAACTGAGCATTTTATATGATCCCATTTTCTCTCCTCCCTTAGCACTTTTTTTTTTTTTACACTCATTCCTTATTGTGCCGCAGAGCGCAATAAAAACTTAATAACTTAAAACTAACCTAAATCCATTTTCAAATAGTAAATTGCTTCACAGGTAATGCAGATACCTGATAGAAAAGTATTTCTGATTCCTTTTTCCTGTCCCTTATAACATTGCTATCATACATTTATCAATAAATTATAAAAGCCAAATATATCATTGCTATTATTATTTTGAACATACTATCTGTTACATCAATTAAAAATAAGAAAATAAAAGATTTTATTTTACCTTCACCTATTCTTTCTATAACATTTTCCTTTTCTTTATGTAGATTGAGTTTACTTTCTGAGGAAACTCAACATTTCCTGCAAGGCAGATCTAGTGAAAACAAGTTCTCTCGATTTTTTCTTTTTCAGAGGAATTCTTTATTTCTTGTTCACTTTTGAAGAAAATTTCACCTATAATTCTAGCTTAACTTTTTTTTTTTCTTTTAAATACTTTAAATAGTTCATCCCACTCTTTTCTTGCATAGTTTCTCAGGAGAAATTTGATATAATTCTTATCTTTGTTTCAGTATAGGTAAAGTGTTATACTTTTCTTTGCTCTCCTCCATTTTTTGTCTTTGATTATCTATAGTTTGAATATGATATGCCTACTTTTAGATTTTTTGGAATTTATCTTACTTTGTGTTCTTACAGCTTCTTGCATCTGAGGTTTACTATCTGTCATTAATTTTGGAAAATTCTCAACTATTATAACTTCCAATATTCTGTTTCTCTCTTCTCCTTATTTTCTCATTATGCCTGTTACACATTTTGTAATTATCCCATAGTTCTTGAATATTCTGTGGCTTTTTCCCCCCATATTTTTTTTCCTTTGTTTTTCAATTTGGTATTGGTATTGCCATATCTTCAAGCTCACTGATTCTTTATTGGTCCTGTCCAGTCTGCTGATGAAACCATGGAAGGAATTCTTCATTTGTTACAGTTTTTTTTTTTTTTTAATTTCCAGCATTTCCTTTTGATTCTTTCGAGTTTTCATCTTTTTGTTTCCATTACCTTTCTTTCATGTTGTCTACTTTTCTTATTATAGTTCTTCACATTTTAATGATAGTTGTTTTAAATTCCTGTTGTGAGGAGTCCAAAATTTCTGTCATATATGCGTCCAGGGCTATTGCTTATTTTGTTTATTCAGTTACATTTTTGTCTTAGTAGGTCTTGTTATTCTTCATTGAAAGCTAGATATGATGTATAAGGTTAAAAAAATAAACAACTGAAGTTAATAAGTCTTTAGTGCGAGGCTTTATGTTTATCTAGCTAGAAGTCAGGCTGTGTTTGCTGTACCTGTACTATCAAACACTAAAATTTTTCTAGTATTCTTGTTTTTGTCTTTCCTGTGGTCTCTGGTCTCCCAAAAGACTCCTTATTAAATAAGGTCTAAGCTTTGCAGTTATTTCAGCTAATCCCCATTATTATAAAGAAGCACTGTTGATGTAGTGGTAAAGTATGGAAAAGGTGAAGCATTCCATAATCATCTGGTTAAATCTTGGTCTTTCAGTGAGTCTGTGCCCCTGGGCTATGACAGTCACAAGTACTTCTCAGTGCGGTTTTCTTCCTCCCCTTAGTTGTACCAGAAAGACTGGTAGGGCAGGAATTGGGTTTTCTTTTTCCCTGTATTGAAAGCTAGAGGAGGTTGTAGTTGGGTAGTTCCCTTCTCCCAAGACAGTTAGGTCCTGATAAAAGCTTCTCTCGATGGCAGTCTCTTAAGGAGAACAAAATGATCTGAGTGTACTTGAAAAGATTACCTCTGCCCCTCCTTATCTTGGAGGCTGGAGAAGATTTTTCTTGTAGGAGGTAACTCACAAAAGTTGTTATAGTCCCCGCTTCCCCCACCCACCCACCCCAGACAACGCCACCAAGGCTAGGCTTCCAGGATTTTTAGCTCTCAAACTAGTCAGGGCTCAGTCTCTAGCAATAAGTAATTACCTTTAAGTATTCCTACCAGTTGCTGACTCCAGCAACCGTTCAAGTTGAGCTGTAATTCTTTGTATTCATCCGTCTTTCCAGTTTGGGAAATAGTGATTTTCCTTGTGATCTCAATTCTCTGAAAGATCTAAGAAGAGTTGTTTATTTTCAGGGTTTTTTTCCCAACTTTTTCTTGTGAGGAAGAATGTGATGACATCTATGTGCTTTATGTGTGAAACCAAAACTGAAAGTCTTATTATCTTTCTACTGGTTTCCTTCTCAAGTTTCCAGACAGGAACAGGTTAAAAATCTTCTCTACTTTCAGCTTTCCCCTAATGTTTCTAATGTATTCCCATGATGGACTTTGGTTTAGAGGTTGTTATACCCATGCCCTACTTCTGTTGTCCACTCTTAATGGCCCAGGTGAATAAATAAATAAATAAATAAAGGACCTTCTCCTTCCTCTTTTGATTTGAATGGAATATTTTATGTCATTTGAGTTTTTGCTATCCTATAGTTTATGACAGTGATTTTTCAAGTATGCTAGAATGAGAAGATGGACTCTTATGCTCAAGTGAGCTGAAGTAATTTAAAAACCTCTTATCTCAAAGAAAGAACATTTATTTTTTGTTGGGAACTAAAAAATAATTTCAAATGACAGTCAAAGCTAAGCAGTTACATTTTTATTCTGGCACCATATCAATCCTTCTCCTGAAAAATTAACCATTTTTTTTTAACAAGTATAAAGACAAAAGAAAAAATTTTACAGACTATAAAATTAGCACTCATTTCATAAAAATATTATCTATATTTATGCTTATTGAATATTCCTATTTCATAGTATACTTTTCACAAATTTTGTCTTAGTTTCTTTTTAAATTTTTTCTCTTATGAATGGTTATATAAGGCTCAAAAATGTCAAAAATAATAAAGTCAAACAACTCATTTTGGAAGTAAAACAGCTTCTTCAGAATCAACAAGTATGGAAATAAAATAGAATGAGCTAGCCTTTAACTTCAAGTTTTAGCATTCCACTCTGAGCCACATTTTAAGAGATGTGAAAAATATTCTTTTAAAACTGAATAACAGTAATCCAATGCAATCAATAGCAACAATAAAACATAATTGGCTGATCTGCAAAGTGGAAAAACTTTTGATTGCATATATGCAAGATCAGATGTAGCAAATCCATATGCCTGCAAACCAAGCTGCAATCTCAACAAATATGTTATTTCAGTTCAAAATAAGTGAGATGTGGTTAAGTGAGACATCAAAGCAAAAGTTTTTAACATTACTAAGTTTTGGTATGACTGCCTCTGGAGGCAATGGTTGAAATAAAATCTATTTATTCCTATTTAATGAGCAACCTCTATATGCCAGGCATTGTCCTACTGACATTAGTCATGTTCTCAAGAACTTAACATTCTTATAGAAGGTAGAAGTAAATGAAATAAATAGATGTATACTTTCAAATGTGTAAGTACAACAAAATCAAAGGATAAAGGATATGATAGAGTTTTGACCTGGTTATGAAGAATATGAAATATTTTTTGAGGAAGGGACTGAGATCTGAATGGTAATAAAGAGTTAACCAGAGAAAAACAGAAACTGGATGAGTGTGCCAATCAAAAGAAACAACATGGGTACAATTTCAATGCCAGGAAAACATAAGTGTGAAGGAACGAAAGTCAATTTGATTGAAGCAGAGGGTATGTGGCAGCTTGAAAGAAAATGAGACCAATAAGCCCAATTACAAAAGGCTTTCAAAGATTTTGTCTCTTTTTAAAAGGAAAGAACAGCACCTGAAGTGTTTACATATAAAGGAGGACTGGAAGAAAATGAAGGTATTTTTCAACTCATGTCTCCAAAGAATGGCTCTCAAAGCAATATTGAGACAAGACACAAAGAGACAGGAATAGACACAGGTAGAGTCATTAGGCAACAATTTCAGTATTCAAGAGGTAATAGTAACTTTGATAGGACAGAAGAGAAACAGAAAAGTAAATCAACTCAAGAGATATTTAGAAGGTAAAATTAATAGGAGTGATGATCTTAATCATCAGGTCTGTAGCATATTAAAAAACTTGACAATCCTTCTGGCTTACAACAACAAATACATATTTTCATGCTCACAGTCCTTAGATTTGCAGGTGTGCAAATACACTACCATTTACTTTATCTAAACTGGCCTTGTTTGAGCCTTAAGGTACTACAGGCTACTGGCTGGTTTCAGGTCTGTGCTCCATGTGCTATTATTCTGAGGTTTAGGATTAAGAGTGTGAAGCTATTCTGGGACATGCTATTTTCATGGTGGTTCAAAACAATGTTAGAGGGCAAGCTTAATCACATCAGTGGAGAGGGAAAGTATGAAGGAAATACTGTAAAACAGCATAAAAAGTGCTGTGGATATATAATCCTACTATAGGGGAGTAAAGAATTTGAACCATAATTCATTCTACCAAATTTATGTATACAATATGGTGGTTATGGGAGGGGTAGGAGTCCAGAATGATCTCTATATTTGCATAATTTCTATGTATTATTGGTTGGATGGTAGTGCCATTAAGGAATATAAGGAGCAAAACAAAAACAAAACTCTGTCATGTGAGTGAAAAAGGAGAACTCAGTTTTTTTTGTTTTTGTTTTTGTTTTGTTTTTTTTTTTTGGAGGTGAAAGGTCTCGCATTTATTACCGAACCAACCTACTGGTGTGGAGGTGTACTCACAGAGAAAATCATTTCCATGATAAGACAAGTCTACCGCCAGGTAGGAAGGATGTTTACAGAATGATAGAACACATGATCTTCACGCAGCTTAATTAAATATGTGTGCCAATTAAGTGTGTCATCTCATGATGGGTGACACCTTACAGACCCAGCTTGGTTCTCCTCCAGTGCCTCCTCTTGGAGTTGTACCTGATCTTATTACCAGTTTTCATCCGAATCCACTGGGGAATGGGACAATTCTGCTTTTGTTTCTTGGCCAGGAATCGCTTGATTCTGAAAGTCTTGCGAGAAGACATGGTGAGAAGCAGCCAGCCACGCAGAGCAGGATGGCGGCGAAAAAGAGACCTCAGTTTTGGACATGTTGAAACTTAGTTGCCCTTTAAGGATCTAAGAAGAAAACTCAAGTAAACAACTAGATGTAATAAGCCTCAAACTTAGGGAAAAGATAGATGCGCGAATGAAAATACGCATGGCTTCTTTGTGTAAGAGGCAATTTCATCTTAGATATGGACAAAATTTCCCAGGGAAACCGCAAAATGAGAAAACAGTAGAACAGAAAGTTGATATTGAAGAGCCCAAATATTTTATATTTAAAGAGCTATGTACTTCTAAGAAGACAGCAAATGATTTGTTAGAGAGGGAGGAGGAAAAGTAGATTACTTTATGTAAGCCTAGCAAGAAAGAGTTGCACTTATCAAGACAGTATCAAGATAAGGAATAAAGCATGTTCATTGTATTTAGTTACATGAGGGTTTACTGCCAATTTAGAACAATTTGGGTGGAGTAATGAGGTTTGGAACTAAAATTATAGTTTTTAAGAGTGAGTGAATAGTAAATAAATGAAGGCAATGCTTAGAACACTTTTTTGAAGTTTTGCTAGAAAAGAGATAAAAATAGAATAGTTTCTTGAGATATAAGAGGATGGTGGGAGGAATTTTTTTCTTACTCTTTTATTTTCTTTCCAAGGGTATTATTGGTGTACTTAAAATCCAGTGGGAAATATTCATTTTAGAAAGAGCAGTTGAATATTCAGAAGACTGAAGGAGTAACTTCTGTGCAGGAGAAAATATGTTCCAAGACATATTAGGTATGATTTAGCCTAGTTAATGAGTTAAATGAGAAAAAAAGATAAAATGAAAGTCAGAAAAATGAAGACATCAGAAATCCCCAATTCAATGAAAATGGACAGAATAAACAACTTACAATGAGAGTAAAGAGAATTTAGTCTTGACAAGATCACGATTAACTTGATGAATCATGAAATATGGGTATCAAAGGAGGATTAATTTTATTATAGATATATATTTTTTCACACAGTGAGGAAGTAGAAAACCCAAGGTAATCTACAAAATAACCTGTTAAAACTAATTATTGAATTAGGAAGTTTGTGGGTGATGGGGCCATTTTTCTCATGCTTTTAAAAACCATCCTAATATCATGTTTATACTATCTCACAGGGTTCTTTCATCTTGTATCCTAGGAGACACCCACAATTTAATAACCTCTAATTTATCCAACTTTAGTTTCAAGACCTCCTGATATCCCTTGCACATGTTCCCAGCTTCTGCAGGCATACACAAGCAAGGTCTTATTACCTTTTTGGGTCCTTTCATTTCTTATGAGACTCCATTTATCCTTAAATACAAGAGGTTACTTAATCCTACTTACTGGGATTTGGGCAAGGAGGGAAAGTGAGTACATATTATGAGAGATGCACATGTTGTCTTGGGGAAGTCTCTTGATCTTCTTTAACCAAGGCTTACTGACAGCATTTAATAGAAAATATTGGGCCATTTGAACAAGTCAGGGAGTCCTAAAAAAAATAGGTACTTCCAAGACATTTCAGTGAATCAATCCAAATTTCTCATCTCAATGGATCCATATCCCATTCTTTCCCAAACAGGACTCTAACTTTGGCATATCACACCTACCTCTTTGGGAGCTCAATTAATATGATAGTTTATTCCTGGGGCAGGCCCTGTTTTCTCTGATTCTCTGACCTCCCTTAAAAGAGATGAAAGCCTTTTTATATGCAACCAGAGACTGTTTGCCTTTTGCGCTTAGATTTCACTTGTCAATTAATTATTCCCATCATAGCTAGCCGATTCCATTGTCCACAGTTACTATTTTCCCCATATTTTTCAAATGCAGTATATTTCCTATCAACTAATACATTTCTCCTCAGCAGTATACCATCCCAGTTCACCAAAAGTGAAAATTTTAACAACTGCACTTTTATCTTGTGCTAGGGTCTCTCTGTTCCACCAACTGGAAACATCAGTAAGAAGTCTGGCAGCAAGTAATCCAACTACAACACATTACCCTATCATCTGCTTTCCTGGACCCCAGTTCTCATATGAATCGCCTTAGCCTGAGTTTCCTAGTAAGCAGACACTGGTAGAGAGATTAACTTTTATGAGACCTATTATGGCGTTCCAATAATTGAGCAAAATTGAGTAGCAGGATATTTTCTAGCTACTTTTGTTTGCAATGCTAAAATTAAAAAAAAAAAAGAAGTCCTCTGATGGCCCAATTTTTGTTTCCCTTTCATCTCACAGAATTTAAAAAGATGAATGTGAAATTATCTGTGATGACTCTGTTAGATTTCTCCCCTCATCTCTCTCATCCATCAACACAAATATGATTTATTCTACAGGTTTAAAATAAATATCTAAAAAGCTAATTCTTGTACAAAGATGAAAGTTTTAACATCTCATCTGAACATCTGATTATGGCAGGAAGCAATCAATAGTTTAAACATGACAAGTCATCTTTTAAGAGGCCAAAAGCTTAACTTGACAAAGAATATTCTAGTTATACTATTGATTTTCCAATAACTTATTTTTCAACATCTCTGATTTCCTATCCAGGAAATATGAAAATGAAAAATTGTCTAATATTCAACAAATTGCCAAATAGTTGAATAATTGATGAGCAATTACCATATAGCTAAAGATTCAAAGATTAAATTTCAATTATTCCTTAAGACATCCTATATCTGCTCCAATTTTGATATGTATTTTAATAGATTTATTGCAAAACTAATCTTAGATAATTTAATCACTCCCTCTATTGGTATAAAGATTGTTGTTCTGTCTGATGTTCCATGTCAAAAAAAATGGTAAATTATACTTAAATTCTTTCATTTATTCAATTATTCAATTCTATTTCTTTAGCACTAATTTCCTACCACTAGGAAAAGAATAAAGAGTAAGATGATTATAAGCACCCAAAAATATTAAAATAAGGTTTCAGGATTAGTACTTTAAAACAATATAATTACAGTAAAGTATGATAAAGTTAAAATGAGTTCATGTTCTCATAAGAAAATTTATTATGATCTGAGATTTAGGAAGACCTCTTTGGAAAAGATGAAGAATGAGAAGGAGTTACTGAAATGCAAGGGAAGGGATGAAACAGAAAGTCTTTCAGAAAACTGCATGCAATCCTGGAATCCAGTGATGGTTACCTACTCAAAAGCCACAGAAACTACAGTGAGATCACAGATTTCAGCTCACATACATATAAACCAAATTCCCTTTCTACCTACAGAGTTCAATCCCTTTGTTTTACTAGTCTCCCTCTCTCAAATTTTCACATTATCATTTATGTTTACTCATACTATTCAACGTTTTCATTGAAGTCCTGAGTTTTAGCCTGCAATACATTTGAACAAAGGTTATAAGATCTTCATGTTTAATTATTTTCTTGCAAAAAATCTTTTTTCTTTTTTTGCTGGTGTCTAGATCTAAGTCTTTTTTATTTTAATTCATTAATTTTACATATATTGTAATAAGAACACTTCACGAGATCTACCCTCTTAAAATTTTAAGTGCATGATACAATATTGTTAACTATAGGCACAATACCATACAACAGATCTCTAGAACTTATATAACCAAAACTTTATACCCATTAGATAGCAACTCAGCATGTCCTTCTTCCCCAAGCCCTTGGCAACCACCATTTTATTCTGTTTCTATGAATTTGACAGTTACCTCATGGGTAAGTGGGACTACATCAAACTAAAAAGCTCCTACACAGCGAACGATCAAATTAGAGAAAACGCCACATATGGGATTATAGAAAATATCTGCAAACTGTATTTCCTATTTCAACTGAAATATTCTAAGAGGCACACAATAACCTAGAAAACTAGAGACACCTACTCCACAAACAGTAGTCAGAATACTGACAATAGTTTAAGGGAAAATAAAACTTAAGGGCAAAATTTAGATGTGGGATGGTATACTTATGCTGAAGATCCAACCACACAAATATCTGATACCTTATTTACAATCCATGCTTTGAGGGAAAGAAAATCTTTTGGGAGCTTCTATGAATGGCTCTACATGTTCTTTGTGACCCATACTCTTATTTCTAACAATTTTGAGAATTATCTCATTTTCTCAGCTTTGCATCCCCCTCCCTTCAGTAATTCAGTGATTCTCCCAGAACAAAGAGTGTGCATATTAGTACCAAATCATTATTTCCCTTCTCCCCTTACCCTACCAGCCTTTTAAAGTCTCCATGTCCAACAACTCATAATTTAAATTTATTCTTCCTTTAGGATACAGGTCAATGAATATTCTCAATTATCAACAGTTACATAAGATTGAGTGAATGTGTATGTATGTGACTAATTCCTATTCTTTCTTGTTAAAGAAAAATATTATTTTGTTTAAATTTTTAATAAATTCTCAGGATCAAACTGACCAGTATTATCAATGTAAAACAATTCTACCATCATGCTGAAATTAGTACAGTGACATTATGTATACCTACTTCAAAATTTTGCTTACAGAAAGGGCTTGAGTGATCTGCCCACTAATTATCTTTGCAGGAAAATTGCTTTTTAAGTGTGATAAATAAAATGTTTTTTTGAAGAGTGTTTCACAGTCTTAAAATTGTAGCTTGAAAAAAGAAATCAGAGGTGATTGTCTAGGACTATGATTTTAAATACATGAAATATTTTTGCTGGCAAATTTTCACAAGCTGAGGAATATAATTGCTACACTAGCAAAACTGAGATTTCTAATGTACTTTCAAGATGGTCAGCACTATTTCTTTCAACACTGTAGTTTTTACTATTTATACATAGAAAATTCATATAAGTTAAAACATTTCTAAGTGAATTTTCTCTGTAATTTTAGTGATTTAGATTATCTATATTCTTCTTCATCTTTTGGTTGTTCAAAAGGCATTTTATTTCTAAAATAAAGGTAAACCTTGAAAATTTCAGATCTGAGAGAGCAGGAAAAAGAAATTGTGTAACCAAATTTTCACCGTTGTTACCCTCAAATCCAATAAAACTGCCGTTACTACAAGTCATTCTACACT